GCGGGCGCCTAAGCCAAGAGAATCGCCTAAGCCTCCCAAGTAGCCTAAGGAGGTTGCTGTGAGCTGTGATGCCAGAGCACTCTACCGAGGGTGATAAAGCGAGACTATCTCTACAAAACAATAAAAAAAAGAATGAAGAGAAGACAAATAACTTGTTTTAAATAAAAGGTGTCTGAGATGACGATCAGAAATCCAAGTAGAAATGAGAAAGGGTTGGGGATGTGGGCCTGAAGTTGGCTCAGAAGACAGGACTTTGAGGACGTTATGGCAGAAACCTTAAGAACAGATGTGTTCTTGGAGGAAGAAAGAAAAGAGCAGAACAGAGAGAAGAATAAATGCCAACAAAGGATAAGAGAGAAGCTAGATAGTAGGGTAAATATGGCTCATAATGACATTCTTTACCAGCTCAGAGGTAGGTAATTTATAAAAATTAAATTTCACCAAGTTAGAATACCACCACACGGTACAGCACCTATCCCCATGTCTTACATTGGTGATACCAAACAGATGTTTAATGAATGAATTTTAAAAAACTGTAGGACATTACAAAGATATTAACCTACCTTATATAGATCCAATTCTGCTGGAAAGATCACAAAGTTTACAGTTAATTGTTTTTCTGAATGGTATTTGGCAAATCTTAAAACTTCCTCAACCATAGTCTGTGCTGCTATTTCCTTCTGTATGCGCATGCCTCCAGTGCCAAGGGCAGGAAAGGAAATGGAAGTTATATTTTCCTGGAGGCATTTTTCCAAACACTGGCTCATAGCCTTTCTCTGTAGGAAAAACACAAATTTAAGATCAGCCTCTAGGCAAAAATAAGACTTCAATGACCCCTTGATCCTGCCCCTATTTTACAACTACAACCTCCATTCTCTCTCAGAGACATGTTCATGCTTCCTCAGAGGGCAGAAACAGTCTGATTCCACAGGGAACCCTCTATAAGCAGCGGTTTTCATCCTGTGGGTCGTGACCCCTTTAGGGGTCGAACGACCCTTTCACAGGGGTCACCTAAGACCATCCTGCATATCAGATATTTACATTACGATTCATAACAGTAGCAAAATTACAGTTATGAAGTAGCAATGAAAATAATTTCATGGTTGGGGGTCACCACAAGATGAGGAACTGTATTCAAGGGTCACGGCATTAGGAAGGTTGAGAACCACTGCTCTATAGCTATATAGTTAGATAATGAGAAAATGAAGTAATAAGTGGCCCATCTGTGCTATTCAGGACACTGGGCACCACAATTTCTTCCAGTTTATGTGGGCTTGCCCAACAAACATGCTGAGTCAGAGAGTCAATCATCAGTTTGTCCCCACACACTTGCCACTTCTAGGGCAATATGAAGATCTAGAAGTTTACCAAAGGAGATAATTACAATAAGAGAGCAGTGTTTATTCACTGTCATTAAGATCTATCATGTAATTTCTCTTGGAAAATGCTAATATTGGCTCGGCGCCTATGGCTCAAGCGGCTAAGGTGCCAACCACATACACCTGAGCTGGCGGGTTCGAATCCAGCCTAGGCCCGCCAAACAACAATGACGGCTGCAACCAAAAAATAGCCGGGCGTTGTGGCGGGCGCCTGTAGTCCCAGCTACTTGGGAGGCAGAGGCAGGAGACTTGCTTGAGCCCAAGAGTTGGAGGTTGCTGTGAGCTGTGATACCACAGCACTCTACCTAGGGGGACAGCTTGAGGCTCTGTCTCAAAAAAAAAAAAAGAAAGAAAGAAAAGAAAAATGCTAATATTTTTGGCAGATTTAAACTTCTATTAGCTTTTCAACATCAAGTTGAAGATCAATACAGGAAGGCTGTGTGTGAAAGGACTTTGGAAAACTGAGGGATAGAGAAATTGGAGGACCAATTTGGGATTAGAGAGAGTTCTCTAGTCAAAAGAGGGCAAAAAATGGTGAAGAAAAAAAGACAAAGTCAGAGGTGGAGATTAAGTTTCCTCTTTCCACACCGGAGTGGGTTCCCCCCGTTTTTTAAAGCTAGTGTTTTATGTGCCTCAGCTGAAGAGTCAGCCAGAGCCAAGCTCCACAGCAGGCACAGGTGGGAAGAAACCACAGGTAACAGATTTCACTGGGATGATGCTGGAAATCCCAGCTCCACCTGAAATTTACCAAGGGAGCTATGGAAAGGTTGAATCCCCTGCCCACTAAGGAGAAGGCCTACAGGGTCACTGGATATGATGAGCGTTCAGACTGAGGGAGTTCTAATGTTTTAGTGTCTATTTGCAGTATGCCAGTGTTATGTGGGTTATGTAACATTTTAAATTAAACTTCTTAGGATAACTTGTGACAACTGTACTTGTTCAGTATTTCAGGTATTCACAAGTGTGCTAAAAAATAGGGACTATACCACTCAACAATATTTCATGAATGTAATGAAATGATGGGAGTTTAACAAAGACTGTATGGAGCTACATAAAGATACATTCATTTTGAACTTACCAAATGTGTAGTATCTGCTAAATGCCATAGTACATGATATACATATCGACAGGACAAGTTAAATCCTTCAGTGACCAGTACCTCCGGGAAAACTCGCGATGGTTTAATCTTTTTGTTTAATTCCAATTTCATTTCAAATCCTGCTTGTTGTACAATTGATTGTGCCACAAGTCCTGGCACACTACTAAACGGGTCTACAGAATTAACAATTACTTCTGTCTGAAAAGGGAAGGACAGGACTTACTGTTAAATTCCTTCTTAAATGACTAATTTAAATCCTTATTTCCCTGAGAGCTTTGGAAGATAATTTTTGAAGATCCTAAATCCACAAAAATTCATGTAATCATGGATAGAAATTCATATTTCCCTGCTCCCTGCCACCCCCTCTACTTATTCCCCATTAATTCGCTACACACCTAGATGCATGCCCAGACCAGGTCTTGGGGCTAAAGAAATGAATAAGCCACAATGCCCATTCTCAAAGGGTGATCATTTGGTTGCTGTGAAACTGTCTGTCCTATTCAGAAATTACGTAAATACATGAATGATATAATTTTTACTACAAACTTCTATTAACCCCTTCCTGGATTACACCTCACATATTTCTAGACTTTGAGCATTCCCTGATTTGTTTTTGGCTCTATCAATAAATAGATTGATTCTCTGCCCCACCATCATCACTTTTTGCTATTTCTATATGGGATTTTTGGTTTGTTTTAAACAGAGAGGAAATTAAATTCTTCAGGAAATTTCTACTTCTTTTTTTTAAAGACAGAGTCTCACTTTGTTGCCCTCGGTAGAGTGCCATAGCGCCACAGCTTACAACAACCTCCAGCTCTTGGGCTTAGGTGATTCTCTTGCCTCAGCCTCCCCAGTAGCTAGGACTACAGGCACCTGCCACAATGCTCGGCTATTTTTTTGTTGCAGTTTGGCGGGGGCTGGGCTCAAACCCGCCACCCTTGGTATAAGGGGCTCGCACCCTACCCACGGAGCCACAGGCGCAGCCCATGGAAATTTCTACTTCCTAATGTTTTTATGGTTTAAGGTAAATAGTACATGGTTAAAGAAAGTCCAATCCTTGGCTTGGCATCCGTAGCTCAGTGGTTAGGGTGCCTGCCACATACACGGAGGCTAGCGGGTTCAAACCTGGCCTGGGCCTGCTAAACAATAATGACAACTGCAACAAAAAAATAGCGGGAGGTTGTGGTAGGTGCCTGTAGTCCAGCTACTTGGGGGGCTGAGGCAAGAGAATTGCTTAAGCCCAAAAGTTGGAGGTTGCTGTGAGCTATGATGTCATAGGACTCTACCAAGGGTGACATAGTGAGACTCTGTCTCAAAAAAAAAGAAAAAGAAAGAAAAGAAAAAGTCCAGTCCAAATGAGACAATAAAAAGGTCTTCAATGAAAAGTAGGCCTCCCTTTTGGTAGGGTCCCCAGATCCACCCCGTACCCACCTATTCTATAGGTGCCCACTTTGACTAGTTCTTCATCTGTCTTTTCAGAAATAGACTGTATTTTTGGTAATATCATCTCCTAGTTAGCCCTCACAGCTGTGCTAAAGGTAGCTGTGCTATTCCCCTACCCCATGCCTGAATCCCCCTAATCATTCTGATAGCTTTAGCTCTCTTTGGGGGTAACTTAGGTAATTCTTACGGATGTTAATGTATGCTTCACTTTAAAAGATCACAGTTAGAATTTGCAATTTGCAGGTACTGGAATCCTTTAAAATGTTTCAATTCCTAATGCTGTTGGCAATAAATAAACACAATAAAATTTCAGTTAAAAAGATGCTATTCAAGTAGGATGTTTCCACTTTTAAAATTAGTATGTTAATGACATCTTGAATAAATATTTCACTTCCAGGGGTTCCATCAGTCTTCTCTCTAATTGTCTTACAGGTAATAAGTAGTATTTTTACTGATGATTAAGTATATTTGATTGTGGCCACAAAGGTCTTAAGTGTGACATCATTGATCCAGAAAATAAAAGAATATAGGTTTATATTCTTTCTCTCTCTCTGTCCCAGTCCCTGCAACTTGCTGCCCCCTCCACTTATTCAGCATTAAGTTGCTGAACAACTTGATGTTTGCTCAGACTAGGCTTTGGGGATGAAGAAATGAACAAGCCATGATGTCCATCCTCAAAGTGCTATCTAGCAGGGGAGCTGCACTAATGCAGAAATACCTATGTTCAGGCTTGCCCTGACTCTTTCCTCTCCCCGCCAGTGTCTTCACATATTCACATAAATATGACATTTTGTCTTACTAAAATATATTTTCAGTAATAATATCCTGGTGTTATAAATATTATTTTTGTTTACCATTAATAAATTGACTCAGAAATGCTGAGATGGTTTTTCTCTCCAATGAGATTTTTCAAATAAAGACATTTTTATGTAAGAATATTTTAGGTCTCTTTGGATTAAAGACTATTCTAATTCCTGATGGTGCCCAAGAATAACAATAGCAATAATTATATGTATCATGTACCAAGCACTATTCTAAGTATTTTATGTATATTAATTGCAGCTCTAAGATACAAGTGCTATTATTATCTTCATTTCGTAGATGAGAAAACTGAAGACCAAAAGATAAAGTAACTTGCTTTGGGTCACCCAGTTAATAAATGGCAAAGCTCGTATTCAAATCCAGATGGCATGACTCTGAAGTCCATATGCTTTTTTTAATTTCTTCCTTCCTTCCTCCCTTCCTCCTTCCCTTTTCTTTTTAAGAGATGGAGTCTTACTATGTTTTCTAGCCTAGACTTAAACCTCTGGGCTCAAGCAACCCCTCCAGCCTCAGCTCCTGAGTAGCTGAGGGCATATGTGCCCATCACCGTACATATTCTTTTTTTTTTTTTGTAGAGACAGTCTTACTTTATAGCCCTCGGCAGAGTGCTGTGTCATCACAGCTCACAGCAACCTCCAGCTCTTGTGCTTATGTGATTCTCTTGTCTCAGCCTCCTGAGTAGCTGGGACTATAGGTGCCTGCCACAATGCCTGGCTATTTTTTGTTGCAGTTTGGCAGGGGCTGGGATTGAACCCCCCCCAGTATATGGGGCCGGCACCCTACTCACTGAGCCACAGGTGCCACCCCAACCGTACATATTCTTAACCCTAACAAGATGCTTTCTACACAGCATTGCACAGGATATACTTGAAATATATATAATGGGCGATTAACAATTCCAGGATCACCTATGGCAAGAGCCTAAAAAGTGAAGACTTACCAATTGGCGTTCAATACTGCCCTGGACAACCTGGAGAGTCAGATTGTTCATAACCATTGTATCAGAAGGATGGGTGGCTTCTTGATTCATCCAGGGCCCCAGCTCATTTTTCCCTAAGGCGCGTTCTGAAGCAGTTTTAAAGGCAGCAACAGTAGGATCCTCATTGCTTACCAAGTGAATTTCTTTCAAATTACCGACCATTTGCTTGTTTTGCAAATTAAACTGGATAGTATCTACAATAGTCTGTGTGCATAAGTCCAGAGGGAACCTGAAAATCCCAGAGCTCACTGCTGGAATTGCTACTGTCTCAATGGAAGTATTTCTATACATGACATAATCCAGAATATTTATAATGGCTGTCTGCAGCTTATGGATACATCCCTGTGGATCCATTTCCCTCCATATGGGCCCAACAGCATGGATGATCTCTTTGCAGGGAAGCTTCCCTGACCCAGTGACAGCAATCTCACCAACTGGTATTTTACCACTTCTGGAAACAATTTTTCTGCTCTCTTCTAGGATTTCAAAGCCACCAACTTTCACCAGGGCCCCGGCCAGGCCTCCCCCATGTATAAGGTCTTCATTGGCTGCATTTACCACAGCATCAACAACATGTGTGGTGAGGTCATCCTTCCAGACAGATAACTCTAGCCTAGGAGTCAGCTTTTTTCTAAACACTTGCAGAGATTTGCTGTTGACTTCCAGGGCTGGAGAGACCAGGGTAGAGATACAGCCAAACTTATTCCAGAGGACTTCATGTAGCAGGCTCTCATTATTTTTTAAAATGTTGAAGTCATGGTGCTTAATGGGAATTTGGTAACTATAGTTTCCTCTGAAAGTATCAGTCTCTGGAAAAGGAGAGAAGATTAAAAGATAAAGAAATAAGCAGGGTTCCTTTGGAAAGGATACAATTCCATTTCATACCAGGTGACTGAGTTCCCTATGTGCATAAGAGAGATAAACTTTCTGAAACCCCCGTCCTGATTCTTCTCACCTAGACATGTAATTAGACCAAGGATATTCAAGAGTTTTCAATGGTAGGTCACTCATAACATAGATAATAAGTACCCCATAAGTGGTAGCTACTATGATACAGTGATAGTGGTAAGGAAACTGTTTATATGGGGATATAGAGGCTCATGAAATTGTTTGTTTTAGACAGGGTCTCATTCCATTGCCTAAGCCAGAATACAGTGGCATCATCACAGCTCACTGTAACCTCAAACTCCTAAGCTCAAGCAATCTTCCTGCCTCAGCCTTCTGAGTATGGAGGACCACAGATGTGCTCCACCATGCCCAGTTAATTTTTGTATTCGTGGTAGAGAGGAGGTCTCCCTCTGTTTCTCAGACCAATCTTGAACTCCTGGTTTCAAATGATCATTCTGCCTCACCGTCCCAATGTGAGCCCTGTTCATGGCTGTAATCCTAGCACATTGTAAAAATTCATGGATTATGCCTGGCCATGAATTTTTTAAATGTATGTAAAAACAGTAAGCTTGGAAAGACCCATGCTTAGGGCACCTATATTGGAAGGGACTTAATTACGAATCAAAAATATGTAGAGACTTCATAACTTTTTTGCTTTCTTTTGGTGTCTTAGTTTGTGTTCTCAGGAGTAGACCCTGAGACAAGGATTTAAGTATAAGTAGTTTGGGAGGTGATCCTAGAGTATACCAGGAGTTTGTGGTGGGGAGGGCAGGGTAGGAATTTAAGACAAAGTACATGAAGAAAGGATATGTTAAGGTGGGTGGATTGCCTGAGCTGAGGAGTTTAAGACCAGCCTGAGCAAGAGTGAGACCCTGTCTGTAAAAATAGCCAGGCATTGGGCAGTGCCTGTGGCTTGATGAGTAAGGCGCCCGCCCCATATACCGAGGGTGGCGGGTTCAAACCCCCGGCCCTGGCCAAACTGCAACCAAAAAAATAGCCAGACGCTGTGGAGGGTGCCTATAGTCCCAGCTACTTGGGAGGCTGAGGAAAGAGAATCGCTTAAGCCCAGGAGTTGGAGGTTGCTGTGACCTGTGTGATGCCACGGCACTCTACCAAGGGTGATAAAGTGAGACTCTGTCTCTACAAAAAAAAAAACAACTGCTTCTCCTCCATTACCAAAACAAAACCAAACAAAAAAACATATTCAGGCCGAGTGCAGTGGCTCAAGCCTGTAATTCTAAGCACTTGGGAGGCTGAGGCGGGTGGGTTGCCTGAGTTCACAGGTTCAAGACCAGCCTGAGCCAGAGCAAGACCTTGTCTCTAAAAATAACTGAGAATTGTGGCAAGCACCTATAATCTCAGCTACTTAGGAGGCTGAGGCAAGAGGATCACTTGAACCCAAGAGTT